ACTTTGCATTTAGAACATATTTTCTGAGAAATTGTATCTTTGCATTAAGAACATATTTTCTAAGAAATTGTATCTTTGCAATTAGAACGTATTCTCTAAGAAATTGCATCTTTGCATTTAGAACATATTTTCTAAGAAATTCTAACTTTGCATTTAGAACGTATTTTCTAAGAAATTGTATCTTTGCATTTAGAACATATTTTCTGAGAAATTGTATCTTTGCATTTAGAACGTATTTCTAAGAAATTGTATCTTTGCATTTAGAACGTATTTTATAAGTAATTGTAACTTTGCATTTAGAACATATTTTCTGAGAAATTGCATCTTTGCATTTAGAACATATTTTCTAAGAAATTGTATCTTTGCATTAACAACGTATTTTCTAAGAAATTACATCTTTGCATTTAAAACATATTTTCTAAGAAATTCTATCTTTGCATTTAGAACATATTTACTAAGAAATTGAAACTTTGCATTTAGAACGTGTTTTCTAAGAAATTGTATCTTTGCATTTACAACGTATTTTCTAAGAAACTGTATCTTTGCATTTAGAACATATTTTCTAAGAAATTATATCTTTGCATTTAGAACATATTTTCTAAGAAATTGTAACTTTGCATTTAGAACGTATTTTCTAAGAAAATGTAACTTTGCATTTAGAACGTATTTTCTAAGAAATTGTATCTTTGCATTTAGAATATATTTTCTGAGAAATTGAATCCTTGCATTTAGAACGTATTTCTTAAGAAATTGTATCTTTGCATTTAGAACATATTTTCTAAGAAATTGTATCTTTGCATTTAGAACGAATTTTCTAAGAAATTAAATCTTTGCATTAACAACGTATTTTCTAAGAAATTACATCTTTGCATTTAAAACATATTTTCTAAGAAATTCTATCTTTGCATTTAGAACGTATTTTCTAAGAAATTGTATCTTTGCATTTAGAACATATTTTCTCAGAAATTGTATCTTTGCATTTAGAAGGTATTTTCTAAGAAATTGTATCTTTGCATTTAGAACGTATTTTCTAAGAAATTGTATCTTTGCATTTAGAACATATTTTCTGAGAAATTGTATCTTTGCATTTAGAACGTATTTTCTAAGAAATTGTATCTTTGTATTTAGAACGTATTTTCTAAGAAATTGTATCTTTGCATTTAGAACGTATTTTCTAAGAAATTGTATCTTTGCATTTAGAACGTATTTTCTAAGAAATTGTATCTTTGCATTTAATAATATTTTCTAAGAAATAATATCTTTGCATTTAGAACGGATTTTCTAAGAAATTGTATCTTTGCATTTAGAACGTATTTTCTAAGATATTGTAACTTGGCATTTAGAACATATTTTCTGAGAAATTCCATCTTTGCATTTAGAACATATTTTCTAAGAAATTGTATCTTTGCCTTTAGAACATATGTTCTAAGAAATTGTATCTTTGCCTTTAGAACGTATTCTCTAAGAAATTGCATCTTTGCATTTAGATCATATTTTCTAAGAAATTCTAACTTTGCATTTAGAACGTATTTTCTAAGAAATTGTATCTTTGCATTTAGAACATATTTTATGAGTAAATTGTATCTTTGCATTTAGAACGTATTTCTAAGAAATTGTATCTTTGCATTTAGAACGTATTTTATAAGTAATTGTAACTTTGCATTTAGAACATATTTTCTGAGAAATTGTATCTTTGCATTTAGAACATATTTTCTAAGAAATTGTATCTTTGCAATTAGAACGTATTCTCTAAGAAATTGCATCTTTGCATTTAGAACATATTTTCTAAGAAATTCTAACTTTGCATTTAGAACGTATTTTCTAAGAAATTGTATCTTTGCATTTAGAACATATTTTCTGAGAAATTGTATCTTTGCATTTAGAACGTATTTCTAAGAAATTGTATCTTTGCATTTAGAACGTATTTTATAAGTAATTGTAACTTTGCATTTAGAACATATTTTCTGAGAAATTGTATCTTTGCATTTAGAACGTATTTTCTAAGAAATTATATCTTTGCATTTAGAACATATTATCTAAGAAATTGTAACTTTGCATTTAGAACGTATTTTCTAAGAAATTGTAACTTTGCATTTAGAACGTATTTTCTAAGAAATTCTATCTTTGCATTTAGAATATATTTTCTGAGAAATGGTATCTTTGCATTTAGAACGTATTTCTTAAGAAATTGTATCTTTGCATTTAGAACATATTTACTATGAAATTGTATCTTTGCATTTAGAACGTATTTTCTAAGAAATTATTACTTTGCATTTAGAACTTATTTTCTAAGAAATTATATCTTTGCATTTAGAAGTTATTTTCTAAGAAATGGTATCTATGCATTTAGAACATATTTTTTAAGAAATTGTATCTTTGCATTTAGAATGTATTTTATAAGAAATTTTATCTTTGCATTTAGAACGTATTTTCTTAGAAATTGTTTCTTTGCATTTAGAACGTATTTTCTAAGAAATTATATCTTTGCATTTAGAACGTATTTTCTAAGAAATTGTATCTTTGCATTTAGAACGTGTTTTCTAAGAAATTGTATCTTTGCTTTTAGAACGTATTTTCTAAGAAATTGTATCTTTGCATTTAGAACATTTTTTATTAGAAATTGTAACTTTGCATTTAGAACTTATTTTCTAAGAAATTGTATCTTTGCATTTAGAACATATTTTCTGAGAAATTGTATCTTTGCATTTAGAACGTATTTTCTAAGAAATTGTATCTTTGCATTTAGAACGTATTTTCTAAGAAATTGTATCTTTGCATTTAGAACGTATTTTCTAAGTAATTGTTACTTTGCATTTAGAACATATTTTTTCTGAGAAATTGCATCTTTGCATTTAGAACATATTTTCTAAGAAATTGTATCTTTGCATTTAGAACGTATTTTCTAAGAAATTGCATCTTTGCATTTAGAACGTATTTTATAAGAAATTTTATCTTTGCATTTAGAACGTATTTTCTAAGAAATTGTATCTTTGCATTTAAACGTATTTTCTAAGTAATTGTAACTTTGCATTTAGAACATATTTTTTCTGAGAAATTGCATCTTTGCATTTAGAACATATTTTTTAAGAAATTGTATCTTTGCATTTAGAACTTATTTTCTAAGAAATTGTATCTTTGCATTTAGAACGTATTTTCTAAGAAATTGCATCTTTGCATTTAGAACATATTTTCTAAGAAATTGTATCTTTGCATTTAGAACGTATTTTCTAAGAAATTGTATCTTAGCATTTAGAACGTATTTTCTAAGAAATTGTATCTTTGCATTTAGAACATATTTTCTGAGAAATTGTAACTTTGCATTTAGTAAGATAATAACTCTGAAATATATTAAAGTTCTTTGCAAAGGCATACAAAGTGTTTTTTTTTTTTTTTTTTTTTTTTTATAAATAGAGACGGGATGATCTGAGGTAATTAATAAAATAGCATGTAGTAAAAAATAATTCATGTGCATATATATATATATATATATATATATATATGCAATAAAATCTTGGAAATTTTCATCAAATAAAATTTTTTCACACAATTTATAATCTCTGAGGGTGGGCCTAACACAAAATTTGAAAAATGGCATTATTTACAGTATGTAGGAAAAAAATTTATTTGAATTCATCTTTTTCTTCTCATGACCTCTTGGTTGATTTTTCTAAATAGAAATCCAAATGAATTTTCTTTTTTGATTTCAACTCATCACACATTTGGCAAATTGTAACCTATCACCTTCCCCTCTCCTCTAAGCATAAAGACCCCATAAAACACAGAAGGTTGAAAAAATATCTACAACCTCACATGCATGTGCAACTTAAAGTTTAGCATGATTCAGATTTGAGATAAAGTTCAACGCTTGCACAATATCCAATAGCTTTTCTTCCTTTCTTTTCACCTCCTATTTTGTCATTATTTTATTTTTTATTTGTTAATGTCAAACAGCATGCCTTTGTTGATACTTTTGAGGCACAAATAGAGTGGTAAGAATGGGAATGTAAAACCCTTTAAAAGGACTTTTAAAACCAGGTTTGCAAGACATTCACTCGATTATTAATTGATTTAAAAAAGCATGTGAACTTGCACAGGAATAAGATATTGTGAACGTGAGAGAGGCATGCATTCAAGGAACATGGCATGGGAGCACAGTCATGATCAGCCTCTGCCACGCTGGCAAGTATGGGATATTTGTCAGGGTCCACCTCCGGATGGGAACAACCCCATATTTATCCTTCTTAAAAGCAATTTTGCAGCTTTAAAAGGGCACAAAGGAAGTAAATTAGCGAACTTATAAGACAAATGTCAAAGCTCCCACATGGCAGCAACCTTTGCTCCTCACTCGATTCACGTGTCTCTGACTCGGCGTTCAGTGGACAAATCAGAAATCAGCGTGTAAATTTCCACATTAATCTCATCTTAAACATCCAAGAGCTCTGTATTTATCTATATGTACATCCGACTGCTAGTTGTTTGGATAGAATGTTGCCCGTCCTCTGAGCACAGCCTGAAGAATTGTGAAAGGGTTCTAAGCATTACAACAAAAAACTCAATCTCACATCCACCATCCATTGATCCAATAATATTGCTCATTATCAACATTGGAATATAATGGTGTGTGAATCTATGTTGATCTGGCATGAGTCAAAATTGGTCAATCATTAGTTTTGGATCAACAAGAACTTGTCAGACTCTGCAATAATCAAAATATAACGTTTTGAAATACTAAACGGTGTGAATCATCAGAAAACGTAGAGTATTTCCAATACACACGAGAAGCATGCGTTCTGAAAACCCTAAATTCTAAACCCTAGTTCTGGCGCACTTTGGCAACGTAACATTCACCGCCTTAAAACCGGCGTTTAGAATTACGTTGATGCATGAGCTTTTTCTGAAGTAAAAAAGCGAACCATTACCATGAAATGTTGCATAGAATCTACGGAATAATCTTTAAGTGTAAAGAGTTGTTTGCAAGACGTCTTCGGGTTCACACACCTCGAGTCTCAGCTCCATCGCTAATCCTTCCCAAGAAACGAGACTCAAGCTGCTAAACAGATCTAGCTAGCTTGTTTGTTAAATGCTTCTGGTGCCGAACATGGGTACAGGTAAGATATAAGCATGTGCACGAAATTGAGTTTCTTCAGTTCTGGCTAACAAATTTCATGCCGGGCGGAGGAATAATCGAGTACTGGCTCGCTGGAAAAGCTTCCATTGTGCGTTGACGTGGATCTGTGTGAGTAAGTTGGGCGGTGAAGTGGGTTTGAGGTCGAAGATCTGATGATTCATTGGCTGCGAGGACGATGTGATAAGCGAAAAAGCTGAAGCGGTGCTTTTAGATTCTCTTGCTGCTCCAGTATCGAATGTCGAGGATTGAGAACGGTGCGGTTCAGGGACTCGGAACTAGGTACAACTGGGAAGCCGGGATTGATGCGTAATCTGGATCCCGACGTGAATCATTCACTGGCAACTGGACTTGGTAGGTAGAGATTGGATTGTTTACTTTAGACGCCACCGCTAAATCTAATCTCAGAGTTCAGTTCTTTGACGGATGAGCTCCGGTTTCCGATTCCTATTTTTCATTTCAACATAAAATGACGCTAATGTGAAACGAAGATTGCGATATGTAACTGTGAAGACATCAGTTTTCGTACGGGATGGAATAGGTTGCCCTGTCCTGCATGCAAGGTGTCCCGCACGTATTCATTCTCACTTAAAGCTCGCAACGGAATCATGAGACACATTCCGGAACGAACCTGACTGACCACGTACTCATCCAACTATTCCAATACATTGTGACGAGTTTATCTCTAAATTTGTCGTTTTAAAAACACGGGATCGGATATATGGTCATTAAAGTTGCGTGGATCGCCAGATAGAAGACAATATTGAACTTGGGGTTGTCTGGGGGTGCAGTTGGGGTTAACAGGTGCTTTGCAGCTGGCGTGACGGAGGTAGTAGACCACTTCGAGGAAAGGCTTAGTTTTGGTTCTGTGAGAGGAGAGAGATTTTGGAGTTATGGCGGCCATGGCGATGGCCAGAGGCAAGGCGAGGACGCTCCTGTCGACGGCCTTGCGCGCTACTTCGGCTGGCCCTGCTCGCCTGCATCGAAATTTCTGTGCAGCGGCAGCAGCTGAGGAGCTGGAGAATCCGACCATAGCTCCCGTGGAGGTCAAGCTTACGAAGCTGCTCATTGATGGGGAGTTTGTGGACGCGGCCTCAGGGAAGACGTTCCCGACCATCGACCCAAGAAGCGAGCAAGTGATTGCCCACGTTGCTGAGGGAGATGTCGAAGATGTCAACCGCGCTGTGAGAGCTGCCCGCAAGGCCTTCGATCATGGACCCTGGCCGAAAATGCCCCCTTTCCAGCGCCAGCGAATACTCCTCAAGTATGTGTCTCTTTTCCCTTTCTCTCGCTGTCTCGCTCACCCACAGTATCTCTTCTTTTGCTGTACATTGTGTGCTCAGAAGCCCACAGCGCGCGCGGCTTTGAACGCTGCAGAATTTCTGTGAGCACTGACTCGATTGCCTTCTAGGTTTTCACAACCCTCAACCATATATTTTCATAACCAGGTACGCAGATTTGCTCGACCAGCATGCGGACGAGCTCGCAGCGCTGGAAACGATGGACTCTGGAAAGCCCTATGAGCAGGCCCGCTACGCCGAGCTCCCCTTAATGTCCCGTCAATTCAGATACTTCGCTGGTTGGGCTGACAAGATCTTCGGCACGACGGGGCCGTCAGACGGAATTCACGCCGTCCAGACACTCCACGAGCCTATTGGAGTTGTTGGACAGATCATTCCGTGGAATTTCCCCTTAGTTATGTACTGCTGGAAGGTGGCGCCCGCTTTGGCAGCCGGTAACACTATTGTGTTGAAGACGGCGGAGCAAACGCCTTTGTCTGCCATCCTTGCAGGGAAGCTGGCCCTGGAAGCTGGCATTCCTCCGGGCGTGCTGAACATTGTCTCCGGATATGGCCCCACTGCGGGTGCCTCCATCGCTGAGCACATGGACATCGACAAAGTGGCCTTCACGGGGTCGACGGAGGTCGGGAAGCTCGTCATGGCTGCTGCAGCGCGCAGCAACTTGAAGCCCGTGACCCTGGAGCTCGGAGGAAAATCGCCCATGATCATCTGTGAAGACGCAAACGTGGACGAAGCGGTGGAGCTTGCCCATTTCGCTCTGTTCTTCAACATGGGTCAGTGCTGTTGCGCTGGCTCTCGCACCTTTGTCCATGAGAGTATCTACGACGAGTTTGTAGAGAAATCCAAGGCGCGCGCATTGAAGCGCGTCGTCGGTGATCCGTTCAGGAAGGGCGTGGAACAGGGTCCTCAAGTGGACAAGGACCAGTTCCACAAGGTGCTCGGATATGTCGAGAGCGGCATGGAACAGGGTGCCAACCTTATCACAGGTGAAAATTAGCATATCTACGCTCCATTCTTAATTCCCACAATTCAGTCATCGATAGCATTTCGAATCTCCTCATTTTCTAACAAGAACTGGGGCGTTGGTCTGCAGGTGGAGGTCGTTTGGGGAGCAAGGGCTACTACATCAAGCCAACCATCTTCACCGATGTGAAAGAAGGCATGAAGATCTTCGACGAGGAGATTTTCGGACCCGTCCAGTCGATCGCAAAGTTCAAAACCTTGGACGAAGTGAGTCGATTCTCTTGTCGATTGCTGCAACTAGCTGACGCTGGGAATGTAGTACTAGTTGTGTTAGGGTGAAATCTAATGCCAAAATATCTGTTTCTTTTGTCGTTAACAGGTTGTGCAGCGTGCCAACAACACAGTCTACGGTCTGGCTGCCGGCATTTTCAGCAACAACATCAACACCGTGAACACTTTGAGCCGGGCATTGCGAGCGGGAACCATCTGGGTCAATTGCTTCGACGTCTTCGACGCCACCATCCCCTTCGGTGGGTACAAGCAGAGCGGCATCGGGCGGGAGAAGGGCAAGTACGTGTTGGAGAGTTACACGCAAGTGAAAGCAGTTGTGACGCCTCTGCACAACCCAGCTTGGCTATAAACTCCCCCTCGCTCCTGCCATCATCTCCCTCCGTATGTTTACCAATCGCAGCTCCAGCAGTCTTTATAGATTCATCCTCGTGGATTGGGAATAGGCCTTAAATATGTGTTCTTCTCGCAACTGGAGCGCTGAAGCTAGATAACGACGACGGCACCACGCCAATGCAAACTCTGTAATGTACGTGTACTGATTCGCTTCTCTACCGATGAAGCTTCAAATGGTCGGCATCGTTGCCGAGCTTGTCGGTGGATTCGGTTCAGTGTAGTTGAATAGATTGAGGGAAAAAAAAAAAAAAAAACAAAACAAAACAAAAAAAAAGCTTAGAACCCTGTATATTGCTTAGACCAAGCACGAAATAATAAATAGAAGGAAAGTAAAGCACTCTTGTGCACAATGTAGTCGTCTGGTGAGATGTTTGCCTTGAGACAACGGCGCATTTATTCGAACGTTGATGAATGTATCCACTAACTAATCTTGTGACTTTGAACTGAAAACAGAGGATACACTTCTTATTATTAGTAGTAATAAATGATGGTGTGTGTGCATTCATTACCATGGTATATCATTGCTTCTACTTGAGAACCCAAATTTCCTTTTCAACGGCACAACTTTTTTGCCTTCATTTCACTTGGAAGTTTATGGTTCTTGACTCTGTCAGAATTTATACCAAAACCAGTTCTGTTTCATGCAAAGACGTATATATCTCTGTTATATGTTTGCTGGGCAATGCTGAACACAAGCTGTTGCAGAGAATTAGGAAGGGTCTATCTAGGAGTAATAGTGGGTATACCCTAGAATTTCTACTTGGAATACAGATTCTCTTTGTGGTTGGTTTTGATTTATTGTTGGTTCGACATAAATGAGGTTGACTTGTTGGTAAATCAATGATCAGGTATCTTTTGCTCCAACACCCCATTTTTGGTAGACATAGCAGCATGGAAAATATATTACATCACTTCTTCAACAATTCTCATTTTATGTAAATTACAAAATTGCTATAGAAAACTTTTGTGATTTGACATTTTTTTCATCTTATTGTTGTTTATGATCAATTGTATTTTAAACTATCCATGACCTATTTCAATGTATAAGAAATTGTCATACTTATTTGGTTCTTTTTTTTACTATGTAATTTTTTTATATATATATAATTTAACAACCTTTAATTAATCCTTACTGTTCCAATTGTCTAATTTTATTATTGCTCCATTTTTCTACTTCAAGTGCTAAAATGTATCTTGAGCATTTGCTTCATAAACATGGATTTGATTTTATACATGTTTGTAGGTAATTGATAGGTTGAAAACTTAGCCAACAAGTTAGCCATGTGTCACACATATTGGTGGCTTGTGGTACAAGTTATTTATGTGGCACACATATTGAAAGCTTGCCTTGTAAGTTAGACATGTGTTCCAAAAGTTAAATATGTTTTTTAGAAGTTAGATATGTGTTAGAATTCTTATAGAATGTTATTACATAGTTCTTAGTTAGATAGTACATAGGGAGGCAAGAGTGAAGCCCTCCTCACTCTTGTCAATGCCTTTCTTATTCTTAATCTTGTTTGAAGAATTTCTTGTTTTTGACAATAGCTACACTAGTCTTAATATTATACCATCTGTGAATGATTATCTACTCCTTTTTAGTGACACAAGAGTATATTAATCCTTTGGTTTTTTGTAACTCATGTCTTTAATAATTACAAACAATCTAAATTATATCTATTTTTTTTTTTATATTTTACATATGTTTTTAGCTACTCCTTGATTCCAAATCAACTATTTAAACATTTTTTTGTTTTTACCTTATAATATAAATTAGATACTATTTTGATAAAAAAAAATTGAATTTAAGTTTATCTTTTTATTTAATTACTATTAAAATCCAAGGTAGATATAATCTTTTTATTAATTTTTAATTTTTAATTTTTTTTTATGTATATCAACAAATTAAGCCAAATATTCTATGCACTCAAGTTGGATAAAACAAAGAACTTCAATTGGTTCAATAAAATAATAAGAAATATTTATCATGTTGTATTTTTGTCTCAATTCTAACCACAATCCAAATTCATTTTTCTATATCTTTTATAACATCTTTAATTCATCGTAACTTACTATGACAAACTTTATTGTCTTGTAAAGAATAATTACAGCATTAATTACATAAGAATTTAATTTCCACTATGATAGTCTATTATAAGCTTTATGAAAGATCTTGAAAATTTGAAGATACGTATATAATATCTACTATCCATATGTTTTTCATCTAAATCTTCTTTTTGAAACTTGTACTTAATTTATATTTCAAAATTAGATCTCATGCAAAATCTAGCAACCACCTAATCAAAAAATTTGATTTAATTGCCATATTTCTATATTTAAAATTATGCTAGATACTGAATTTTTTAAATTAAAATAATTTGATTATCTATTTTAACAGTATATCTACAATAAAATTTTCTAAATTAATAATTCTAAGTCATCTTTCTATTTAATTTTTAAAACATATAATCTAAGCTATTTTTTATGGATTAATAATTGAGTACTTTTTATTTAGAATTTTAAAATTTTAAAATTAATTATAGGATTTCTATTTAATTCAATAAAAAATAAAAAAGATATTAGTTATTTTAAAGATTATCTATTCTATATTTAAACTAAAATGCTAATATTATAATTTTTTCTTTATCAAGTCCATGACGAATCTATTAATATTTCCATTTCTACAACTAATGTAAAAGATATATTTAATAACATTCTAATACTTTTTTTGTAGTACATATTTAATCAAATCTATTTATTCAATCTAATCTTGAATATTTACTAAATTTTTGAATATATTTTTTTCAAATTTATCTTCGATTGAGATGAAAAAAATCTATATAGAATTCAAATTATATTTGATATAATTTGTCATCTCTACTAATAGTTAAAATGCAAATATTTTTATATTAACTTAATAAATATGATTTTTACTATGAAAAAAATAAATGTTCTAAATGGATTTGTTATTAATGACATCTTCAAGTTAATGTTGAGGACTTCCTTTATAATATTAAAGAAGTATAAAAAGACAAAACACCCTTATTTTACTTCTCTACTAATTTTTACTTTTAGTATTGTATTTCTAATAGTGAACATTACATCCTCAACTTCTACAACTAAAAATTTAATTATATAAATTAAATTCCTATATAAATTTATTATAAATATTAGTTATTTTGAAATTTTAGTTGAATTGATAATCTCTAAAGTCATTAAGTTATCATCTAAATTCACATGAATAGAAAAAAATTGCTTTATCCAGATATGTAATTTCTACAAATAGAAAAAGAAAAAGAAAAATTTAAAATATAATCTTAATTGTATGTGTGTATGTGTGTATGTATGTATATATATATATATATATATATATATATATAGATTTTTTGTTCCAAATTATTAAAAAATAATTAATTTTAATTTCCATATATATTAATTTAACCTTCTTTTAAGACCAACTTGATGCTAGAAGCTATCTACAGGATTATTATATAAACTTGAAAAGAAATCATATTAATAAAATTTAAGTAGGTATTTTATTTATTGTTATATTGATCATTAATTTAGAATTTAAATTGACTTTAGAATAAAATTTTGGATCTTAAGTTGAGAATTTGTACGTTTTTGGTGATAAATTATGTAACAATTATTTTAATCTTACAAGCACTTATTTCTAAGTATGCTTCTAAGTAAAATTATTATATTTTAGTAGTTTTATCTATATTTAATTAATCATCTAATATTCTAACAATGTGAGTTAATTAGGATTGAATTTATGTTAAAAGAAGCTTGTATCTACAAAACATGTAATAAAACACAACTTACCAAATAATCTATTTTGAATTGGACCATGTTATTAACAACTATTATTTTAGGAGATTTGTGTTTGCAAAGAAATATATATATATATATATATATATATATATAATATATACAAAGTAAGAATTTCTTACTCAACACTTCATAAGTAAAATATGATTGTCTAATGTGCTTCAAAAGCTTCAAAATTTATATATCTTCTTAAATTGTCAATTGTATAAGTTGAATTATCTATTATTATTTTATTCCTTGTAACATAAAGTCCTTGCCTTCACTTAAGACAAAATCCTTTACATATTCTGTATACAATTATATCGTAAATCTAAAGTTAATTCTAAAAATAAATGATTTTATAAATATGATTTATTTTTAAGATTTACTTTTTAGTATATATGTATATATATATATATATATATATATATATATGTGTGTGTGTGTGTATGTATGTGTTTGTTTGTGTGTGTTTGAATATCTCTTTAAACACTAAACTAACAATCCAATAGTAAAAGTAGAAGGAATGTAGTATCTGATGTTATACATTGTGTTGTATCAAAAATAAGAAATATAAAAAAATCTATTTTATTAATCTATATATAAAATTTTATTATATTTTTCAAAATTTTATATTCTAAATTTTATCATCCAATTTTAAAATAACTTTTGCATTTCATTCCATTTTTATTTTTATTTTTTGCAATTTTTTTCAATTTACTTTCAAAATTTTTATATTTATTTACATATAAAATTTAACAATATGTATAATAGCAAACATGATACATATTTATATCCAAATTTTTAAATCTAATTATCAACACAAAACCATAAATCTTAAAATCTGATCATAAATCTTAAACATTAAATTCTTTCACTATGTGCTTGTGACATAAATTGGTATAATATTGCAAATGAGCAAAATAAGGTCCAAATGTAAAGATTGTTTATGTAAAAGTAATAAATTATAAAATGTTAATTCGTCACTACTCATTCACTAATCAAAATCAGGATAACATTTTAACATGCACATGTGGCATAATTTGATACCCACTATCTAATTGTAATAGGTGTAAATATGTACACGCCACATAAGATCCGGAAAAGCACTGACCATTTATCCATCAATTAGCGTTGCGTCTCACACGTGGACCTGCTCCCAAGCGCTCTTTTTCCCAGTCTCAAACAAGGCAACAAACAATGAGCTTAACTACAGTTCAAAGAAAACTGAACGAATTAGCTTACTTGGAAAGAATAACAGTTCTAGATTCTCACAGTTTCTAATGAGAGAATGACCCAGCTGACACAATTGAACAGTTGGGAGTTGAAACATCACCGAATGCTGGCAAATAACCGTCTATAAGCTGAAAGTCCAGGAATGTGTATAACTCTCACTGCTTGCTTTCAGTTTTAGTAGTGCTTATGATACTTCGATGTCCATTGTTCACATTTCTATAGGATATGAGATTAGAGATCAATTGAAGTCACTGTGTAGCAAAGTTAGTCGGCAGACAACTTTTCTAGAGCATGCCGGAGGAATCTCTGGACTGCAGGTCTGGTGTTTGGATTTAGTGGATAATAATTTCCTGTCTGGAGATATGTTCAAGATGAAGGATATTCAATGTACCACCGAAAGCTTGTGCGAGTTGAAAAGTGTGCGGCACGACGCAGAGGGACGTGAATGCATCAAGTGCCGAAATGGAAAGTACCACAGAGGAAAGCAGCCAGAGGCTCATGAATGCTGCAAGAAGAGCAAGGAGGCCAAGGCAGCGTTGATGGACTATGCAGCGGTGGCAGCAGGGTCGTTTCCCATGTGCTACCTCTTCATCACTTGCTTCGTTGCCAGGGTGTTCCTCATGCAATGTGTGGCAGCTGCTTCGAAGACAAACACGACAGGTCTGTGGTAGCCCCACGGCGTGGTAAAAGCCAGTGGCCTCGGAGGACAACCAGATGATGGTTGACTGTAGTTTCAATCATGCTTCGAGGAATAGTTATTGACCAGCAATTCTTGCACAGCGCCTTCAAGCAATTTATAATAAATCTTTAAAGCAAATTATCAAATCTTGAATTAATCCTTATATACATACATACATACATACATATATGCAAAGATAACAACGAAGTAGATAAAAGCCTGTAGTAGAAAGTAACTTGGTCTGCTGGTGGTCAGGAGTAAAAGCTAGGATTTTTTGCATCATATTCTGTGAGGACTAGAGGGTCATCTTGACAGGTAAGCGAAGGCTACTGTGCTACAACCATTAGTATTCATGATTTAGACACTGCAGTTCTACACAACGGTGACAGCCTTCCTGCTGGAGTTCAAACCATTTCATGTGATGGAGAGGTAGACGATATCGGGCAATACCTTATTTCAAAATCTGTTAGACAATAACTTAATGAGGATTGGTAGGAATTCTTGAGGAATTCTTAAGCATTCTTGAAGAATTCTTGAAGGTAGGATTCCTACCATCTTAAGAATTCCTACCTTCAAAACATGCACACAAACGCGCTATTGAAAACAAACCAAGAAGACAATATTCAGCAAAAATTTAGGGCTCCTCTATCCTGTCGAGTTCCTTCTGGTTGTTCCAAGGCACAACCCCAAGTACCTAGGACCTACATATTGAAGGTCAATGCAGTCGTGTAATTGCGATGCAGAATTACTTCGTTATCAAGGCCAGACACGGAGAGGTGAGGAAGCAAACCACGAGCTTCGCACACTCAACCGTAAAGCTCTAATTGGCTCGAAAGACCTAAGTCGATTGAAAAACTTTCCAACGGGGAGTGGCGTTGTATAGTAACCAAAACACTAATGAGGTCACTTAGTAGCATTAATTTTCCAAGGCTGGATTACAGCAAGGAGAACAATGATAGCTGTGACAAGCAGTAAGAAAATGGCAACACACGTGCACTTGCGAGTTCCTCTTTGCAAGGTTTTTGCCTTTTGGAGCGCAGATGTGCCCGCAGCGACATGTTCGACTGCTTTGCTTACCTGCAAATCCGGATCACATGAAAAAATCACATTGGCACTCATTAAAGTAAAGAAGCAGAACCCAGTATTAAATTCTAAACAAAAGCTTCATGAGAAACTTGGGAGACCACAGAGACTCCAGAACACACAGAAAAGTACATAGGCAATGAAAGCTCAGAGTAACAGACATCTCTGGTTTGAGACAAGAGGCACATTAGCGACGGACACGTTAACTGTGTATGCATGTGTTAGTGTTGTGATGTGATGCTTAGGAGTGGAGTGAAGCAACCAACCTGGGTTTCAATGCTATCAAGTAGCTCGCCTTGCGATTCAACAAGCACCGCCATGTCAATAAAAATCTGCCAGTCATCCACATGTCTGTTAATTCATTCATTTGCCTCAAAAAGGAAATGATATGAGTATCTTGGGTCTCAAACATATGCAACAGAATCATTATACAACCAAACCAATTAGATGGAATCTAATAATAGGATTCCTCTGATAGACGATGGTATTGGAAAGAGTTGGATAGGGAGACCTGGTGAAGTTCCAAGAGCTTCTTCTCAATTTCCCTAACAGCATCATGTCGCTCTTGGAGCTCAGCTATTGTGTCCAGAATCTGCACCGCGCAGTCATAATAGGAAGAAGGCTCAAAACGGGAGTTACAAAATTTAAGCGGCAACTGCATTCGTCTTGGACATTTAAGCAAGTACCTACATATTAAACAAATGTCTGCAGTGGTTTATGAAAATAAGAAACCAAGGCAGTTCAATTCTTAACCAAAGCATAATTTACCTGGCCTCTCCCCTGCTCCTGGATAGCCCTTTGAAAAATTTGCTCACTGTCTCCTGTTTCAATCAAGCGTTCAATGACCTGTACAAAAATAACGAAGTTGTAAGGTAACTAAAGATCTCGACGGGCACAACTATGACAGTGTGATCGATGGACATGGATATCAATCGGAAGATAAGTACACAATTGTTCTCTTTCAAAACTAACAAATAGAACTGAAAGTTGCATTAGAAGAAGGGTCGACAAGCTTACTGATTCATCCACTTTCTGCCCTGTGACTGCTCAAGATTTAACGAACACAAATAGGGGACAAAAGTAAGAGTCATACTATTATGTTAAAGCTTGCCTCGTTCATCATAATAGAAACAAACAACCAGGACAACATGGGTAAGCGAACGATCAATCAAGTTAAAAAAACTAAAAAAAGAGTTTAAAATTATAAATTAAGGAATAGTTTTGAAACATTACTCACCTGTGAAAACACGCCTTTCAACCACCTCCCGGTGCTCGTCTTGAAATCTTTGTCTCAGTGCCTGCAATTGAGCCTCTTCAATGAAGCCCGTACTTGTACTCACAGCAAGCGACTCACCAATAGAGAACTTAGAACACAGTTTGAACAATAAATCGGTTCATGTAACAAAGAGCTCGTGTCACTCAGTGTAAAAAAAACTCAACAACGTACCTGAAAACCAATCATGAGCTCCTTCAGCTTCTTCTTCAAAGTACTGCCTCGCAGAAATGAAGCCGTTGGTCAATTACTCGAAAAAGGAAAAAACAAAAACAAAAACAATGTCTTGTAGTCATCTTAAGTAAAATGCAATATTCTCACAGCAAACAATGCTCATACAAACTTGTTAATTTAATTATGCTGTAAGACACTTGAAGATCAACCTTGTAGTCATTTGCATTACCTAGCAATTTTACTTTCAACTTTGCACAGGTGACCCACAAAACAGTTCAAGTTACAACTCCTTGAGTTGTGAACGCTTTGAATATCAGTAAAATCTTTCACAAATAAGGGCCACATGTCTACAAATGTGACAGGGTCACAGCATGACTTACGAAGAGATAGTTATCCGTGTCCGATCGGTGCTAGACCCTTCATGACAACCCTTGATTTTACGGTTTGCAACATTCTGCCAAACAGCCGGCAGAAAGAAAGTTGAATTAATATAATGCAAGTGAGAATTTTTCATTATTTTATTTCTGATTATTACCTTTTCTTTTTTCTTTTTGAAATCACAGAAATTAATTTAAAGTTGCATAATTTGAGTGGTCTGCTAACGCACTAAACAAAAGCCTGTCTTACAAAAAATGGGTTCTGTCAACCAATCGTTACTCAAGTAAATGTAGATTCATGGAACTCGTAGTAACCAGTTTGAGAGAGTGTGGCAAGGGTATAATAACAATGCTAAGAAAAAACAGTTCTTACTGCTCTGTCCAGGGCCTCTAATTTTCTCTTCAAACCTTGAGCAATCTTGCTGATGTCATCTAGATCCTGTTCCATTTTCTCCTTTAGAGCTGCATAAAGAAAAATTTGGTCTTTTGTTGCTTGATAAAAATGCCAACTTACAAGGTTCAATGACAAATCAATGATAATTCAAAACAGCTGATGGTGGAACAATAGAACTACTTTAAATCGCCTGACCTTTCATGGTTGGAGCTTTAGTCACATTCTTGGACTCGTCATTCGTATCCTGGAAAATAAAAAAGAGGATCAACCTATCACAAGCTCAAAATTTACCACCTTCTGGTCTTATTCTGTGACCGTTGACGACGTTGGACATTTACTTCATCATTAGGCAATGATTTCTATCTCAGTGTTAAGGATACATAGCAAGCAACCTTTCTGTTCGTATTGATCACAAATTTCACATCGGCATTAGCAAATGCCACCACGGGTACCTTCCATCCAATATTTGAGCCAATGACTATCTATAGCTAGAAGCAAAATTGCAAGAAAATGCAGGACTGCGATTTGAGACACTTAGAAGATTGTTCCACTCCCATTGAAACGACGATCAGAAACCGAAGCACGATGAGCTCACCCAGAATACGTCGAAAAGTGAAAAAGAGGGAAATATAACAGACCTGCAACTTCTGAAACTTCTTCCGAATCTCCGCCATCGAGCTTTTGATGTCATTAACCTGCTTCCAACTTCGAAGTACCGAATAATGTTAATGAAGAATGTCAATTACAATTAATATATCTACATACAAAAGGATGAGAGGTTTAGCAAGAAATCTGTTGACCTCTTGGAAGAACAAGGACATGTTTTGACCAGCGTCCGGGACATCAAAAGGTCCCGCCTCGAGGTCCACCTCTCTGCCATCTGCTGCTGCAGAATCCTGCACGATCATATGGGTACGATTATCATAAACAGCTTCCCAAAGAAGGTTGTAAAGAACGTTTAAGGTTTCAGCGAGGAGAAGAGAGATTGTCATTTTAGAAGCCGTTTGCAAGGCACCTAGTTTGTAAGACCTGACCTAATTTACGATCCACCAAAACAATCTGGGCGATAACGCACGAATCCTTTTCAAGACTCAAGCTCTTCAAGTTTAACGCTCCCATATTGATGATCATGTATCCTCCTGAAATATATCTTACTTCATCGTCTCAGATGACAGCTCTGTGGCCTCAAGAATCCCCTACCAACCATAAACAAACCGAAAAGAAAAAGAAAAAAGAAAAAAGAAAAAAACGCAATTATCCAAACCCCTCAACACCCTTTCATGCTCGATCAAAGATCAATTCCGCGACGTGAGCTCTTGAGTCCTGTCACGAAATCAACCAGTTCACTTGCAATCACCAGAACCTCAGCATTTATTCGCCAACGTACCCCAAGAAGATCGTTCATGGCGATCGAGGACTACCCAATCTCCAATCCCCCAACCCCGCCTCGACTGGCCAGACCAAGCTGCAAAGCGATTTTCACAAGCTTACGAGTGCTGCCACCGTGCTTTTCCCTTCCCTTCCCTGCCCAACTACCGCTTGTTCTTCTTATTCCACCGAGGGTTCACTCGACACACTCACCAGCTCATCCCCATATCCAAACCCAATCCATTGCTCCCACCAGCACGAACGCTACAGCAAGGCCTCACAGCAGAGAATCAAAATAGACGCTACAGGCCGGCACAAGTGAGACAGTGGCAGCGAGGGCGGAGGCGAAGTATCAGGCAGGCAGTCGCAACCAGAGCTCTGCGCAAAAAACGCAACGCAGAACTCGAACGAAACATAGTAACGCAGCAGCTCCGTATCGCCGAAGCAGACACCGCACGTCCTGAGCGTCGATCGATCCTCTCAATAGCAACACATCATCACGCCGAGGCCGCTGTATGTTGCACCAACATCATGCTCACAGCAGTATATTCACACACACACAATCCTTCATTCCTTCCTTATCCTTTCTTTCCATGGCCATGTCTACTCCGGCGTGACAATTGCACATCCATCCGGTGAGGTGCAGTAGTGCATAGCTCCTCGATCTGAGTGAGAGAGAGTGCGACTGGTTTCGTGAGAGCTCGGTCATGTAGCATGGCTTCTTCTTATTTTCTCCCTTCCTCCTCTACGCTTCTTGGGAGCATCGGGAGATGGAGTGTGGGCAACCAAAACTCACGGCCTTTGGCACTTGCTCCACGTCGGCATTCCTCCCAAATGTCGGGGTTTTAGGGCTTCATGATTGTGTCGTGCTGTGTTTGTCGTTATTAATACGCACTATGCATGAATGGTTGCTATGGTTCAATCATGTGTCCATATACGTAAATTTTTAAAACCAATCTTTGTATTTATGCATTCATGTTTGTTGTTGCATCATACTTAGACACATAATTTGGAATCTATTTCTTATTAAGCTTATTCACACTTGATTTTTGCTTGTTTTTTATTCTTGAATTGTTTCCTTTTAGTATAAAAACTGCAAATCTTGTGCAACGGTTCTTTAAACATAGATGAAATTTCACAACCAGGACATTCAATTTACCAACCTTTTTAATGCTAAGTTGCAATCTTAAAATGTAACTTATTATTCTTTGGTAGATTAAAGTCACTTCAAATTAGATGCATGTTTTTCTTTCTTCTGTTCTTTATATATATATAATATATATATACTAATATATATATATACTAATAATATATATATACTAATTATATATATATATATATATATATATATATATACAAGATTTAGTGAATTTGTATTGTAAATTTGTTGTATGTGCAAATTGATCTTTAATATGAACAATTGTATGAAGATAATTAAGTATTAAATAAAAATTAAACAATAAAATGGATATTTTATAATATACAAAGATATAAAAAATACAACATAGATAAGATTTAGAAAATTAGAAAATTAAATATTAAATATTAAATATTTTCCTTACAAACATTCATCTTTAAAAATAAGATTAGTAAAAACTTTGACCTAATTGCACTAAGTAAGATTATTTTCTTACAATTCATTAGTTAAATTTATTTCGCACCTTTGTATAGCAGATTAAATGTCAATTAATGTTCAAAAGTTACAATATTAAAACAATTCTTTACAAATATTACATATTACTCATTTTCATGTTGAATTTTTATATGTACATAGTTATTTAATTATGTTATATGTATATTATTCCCATAAGTAAATATAAAATGTTTCTACAAATAACTTAAATATCTTGTCATTATTATTATTTTATAATGGTTTTAAAAAATAATTCAAACTTATTATTACTATTTTAAAAGTTTTTTTTTTTTTTTTTTTTTTTTTTTGGGTAGTTGAAAAAGATCAATAAAAGTTTTAGAATATATATATATATATATATATATATATATATATTAAAACTTTTCAAGGAGATAAGTGGTGGCTCTCATTCACCACATGGCTCTTATTTTTATCAAAAAAATTAATGTTATCTAGAGTTCACAAGTCCTTAATAAAACCATGGTTCTTGATCAATATTGTATTGCAGATAGAAATTTACTTGCTGCTATGTGCAAAGGAAGGTGTATAGTGCAAGTTATTTGATTAAATTGCAATGAAAATCTTTTGGTAAGAAATCTTTCTTCTTTACATTTTTTTCATAATTGGTACTAGATTCTTAATTCAACAATTAATGATAATATAACATTGTTATTGTGCATGAATTTGTAGGGAAGAAAAAGCTTGATTTAGATAAAGCAAAGTTAAATATTGAAATAATTCTTGACTTTTTGCATCATTTGGAAGTTTAAAACTGCAAATGATAAAGGAGGTGAGTTCTTCTAACTTCTTTGCTTTTTCTGAATTACATCTCAACTATTTCAATTTTGTAAGTTTTTATTTTTTTTTATTTTTTTTATTTCATAGTTATATAAAATATTACTCATAGTATAATTTTTGATGATGCTTTAAATAATTTTTGTATAGCAAAAGAAATGGAGCAGGCAACTTATCAATTGTTTTAAGATATGATGATGTACTTAGCAATATCATAGCAATACCATAAAGCTTAATTTGTATTTATGTGAGCAACATATCAATACAAGTTGTAAGTTCATAATCACTGATGAAAAGAACTTTCATGGAAAAATAAGCTTTTTATGATAGCTCTAGGACTTATATATGTATTCGTCATCCAACGTATGTTCCTTATCAATAAATCAATTGGTGTGCTCAATTTAATGTATGAATCATTTTTTAGATTTTTATGATCAATCAAGTCTCAAAGTTCAAAGTGGATGATGAGATTTCAAGCATTTAGATTTAAATGGAATTGAATTAATAAAGTTTAGCATCTTAAGCTGCATAAGAAAAATGGTTGTATTTTGGCTTTCTTTTGTCTTTTTCTTACTAGGCTTTGTGATGCCTTATATCTTCTAATTGCTCTCACCTTCTTGCAAATTGTGAGTATTTATTACTTGAATAGTTACAATTACAAATGAAACGATGGTTGATTCTTATTTCAATGTACTCTGAGATTGATTTTTGGACATCCATGAAAGGGGAACAATTCCATGATTTTTTTTTTTGACACTTATATATTACAGGTATTGAGGTGCATGTATGATAGTTACTTTTGTCTATTGCTAAGATCAAGTCTGGAACTTACTTGAAAGCATTTTGAAATAGACATCATTTAGAGTTCATATTTGCAAGCCAAATCTATTTACAGCTAGAGAAGCATGGTTGCATCTAACAATTTTTTTCAAGTTTCTTATTAATAGATAATATAGAGGAAGAGTTTGCATGGTAGTAGTCTCAATATTTCTTTGACAAAAGTACAATAAAAAATAAAATCATTGTCTCCTAAAAGATTTAAAAATATTATTTTTGAGAGTGAACCTTTTGAATGATTTCTTCAATAGTGATTTCTTGCTTATAAATTTATTCAGATTGATGCATCTCTTACATGAGTAGCATTGAGTTTAAAAAAGAAATATGGAACATCAATACTTATTGTGATTTTAATCCTAGCTAAATCTAAATCTATAGCATATATCTTTTATATATATATATTTCTAAACTTATGCTAAAAAAAAAGCTGTGTCAAAATTTGGTTTGATTTTTCGCACATATTTACCAAAGTTTGAATTGTGGTGAATGAAACAAAGTGGATTAATGTTTGAGATAAGAGCAATGTATTTTATATTTTTCCTAATAATTTCTAATCCGCATCTAGCTTGTGTGAGTACAATAGATTTGTCAAAAGTCCAACAATTGCAATAATTAACATAGCCATTGATATTTTTTTTGCAGACTCTATTTAGCTCTAGAGTATGTTGAGAGTGTATTCATTTGGATATACTGATTTTTTCCTTGTGAGCACAATTAATAGCTCCAACGGTTAATTATAATCACTTTTGTGATTTTTAGCATATTTTTACTAAATTTTATGCTAATATGATTAACTTATCGATCCAAATTAGCTTTTTTCATTATTTATGTCTTTATTTATATTTTTAGGTTATTAATTAGATAGATAATTTTAATTATTAGATTGAGTAATTTTTAGAAACTCTAAAAATAGTAAATTTAGAAGATCTATGATTTTTTTTCTTGATCTGATTTAAATACTCTTTTAATACTAAAATTAAAATTTTAGTAGAATTTCTCTTCTAAGTTCTAAAAATTATATCTTAAATTAATCCACAATCTTAGTTTTTAATGCCAAGGCTAATTCCTAATTTGACTATGGTTAGAAAATCCTTTAAGTTTAATTGTTCTATCTTCCTATTTAATTTTAAGATTTTTGTAAGCTTAAATTTTATCTTGCAATTTAAATAGATTAAAAATATAAAGTCTAATTGTTAAATTAATGATGATTTTTAGAAGATGGATGTGAACTAATTTTTGTAGTGGAATCCCTCTTTAAGTAATTTTAATCACTATTTGGAGTTGAAAATTAGAAAAAAAAAATTAAAAAAATCATAAGTATATTAATTCAAGGCCAAATTACAATTGGATCTTGGATTTGCTAAGGGTTTGTGTTTAAAGAAGTCTAAATTAAAGAATGGTGATCACAATAGCTTTGATGGAAAGAATCCTTGTTGATCTCTAAGTAGACTGAGTAAAATTAGAATTATAGTTAGACCTTACAACTAAATTAGCAAATTAATTAATTTTTATGATTTAGAACTTGAATTTGGCCTTGTAAGAAGTCAATTTTGGAATAAAAATGTATTTTAGAATCATTGGTGGTGTTTGTTTTGCCAAAAAAATATTAGCTTTTGAGTTATAGGCATTTTTAGCCTTAAAATCAAATTTAGGCTTAGTGTGATTGTGAACCTTTGATCTTGGTTAGGAATTTTTTGATTTGGATGGTGGAGATGTGGCCACCATCTTTGGGCTCTTTCCACCTAGTTAAGAGATCTTAGGTGGCAGAGCTCTCTCTCTCTCTCTCTCTCTCTTCCATATTTTGTAAAACAAGGCCTTGCCAAATTGTTTCTAGGCTTTTAATTGAAGGAATTTTTTCCTACCTTATTACTACCTTGGTATTTTTTTCCTCTCAATCATTCAATTTTTTATACTTTTCAACAATATTTAGTATTCATCTTCTTCTAGTTATACATGAAAGAAGGCTAAATAAGTTGTTTGAATTTTGCTATATATAAATTTCAACCCCATAGACAACACCAAAGTTTATTTATTTATTTTATTTCTTATTCTTTTCTTTTCTATTAATATTACATGTTTTCTTAAATTTATTATACGTTGTGATAATAAATTAAAAATTATCATTGAGCTTTGGATTTTAGAATTTTTGAAGTAGACTTGCAATTATATTGTGAATTTGCTCAACTTCAGCATGATTGTTTTTCATTTTGGAATTGGACAACACCAAAGTTTTTCATTTATTTATTTATTTATTTATTTTATTGCTTCTTCTTTTCTTTTCTTTAAACATTGGTGTTTGAAGGCGGCAATTCTACTATGAATGAAGATCATACTAGTAAAGATTTCATAGGTGGAAATTGAGCTTGAACTTGGGCTTTGTCTTTATTACCGTTGATATTGAGTTTCATTGTGAATTGGATATTTTAGACCATCTTGGTCTAGAAAAAGAAAATAAATTTATTTTTAATATTT